TTTCTAGTATTTTCAGCGGTATTTCAATATACATACATATTCGTAAAATAATTCTTAGTTTATATAAGCAGACAATATAAAAAATGTTTTCTGAAAACCTTCATAAGCAAACAATTTTTTTGTATATCTTTATATTTTAGATCAAAATTAAATTTTTGATTTTTTTTATCATCGCATCGTAATGTTAATTTTAAATTCTATTAAGAGAAGAGCCAAGACAATTTTTATTTAAAATATTCAGAAATTACACCAAATATTACTAATACCTATAATTCTATTTATATCTAGATTAAAAATTAATTTTTTAATGGTAGTAAATTTTTATTTCTTACTAGATATTTTATATATACCTACAATGTAGCTAAAAGTCATTCTCCTACTAGGTATATAAATATTTTTTAACCAAATTTGGCATGCACATATTGCACTATGCTTTAAGTATCACTTCTTTTCTTTTTTTAACGCTTTACAGATGTGTGAAAGAAAGTAGAGTTGTTATTTGTTTATCGTTATTATCTGAATCAAACTATAAAAATATTCACCGGTGTGAAATTAGCCACCAATTTTTAGTGACTAATTTTCCGAAAATTGCCGAACTGTCAGTGGACTTGTAATTATACATTCAAAAAACTGCAGGCATCTACCACTAAGATTTGCAAATGAAATAATTAATTTGACAATATACCACTTTATTATTTTAAACTTAATTCAAAATGAAGGTTTTGATATTGTAGGAGTAACAGAGACATGGTTAAAGCATAATATATGTAGTAACATAGTAAATCTAAATGGTTTTTCAGGGGTAGATTTATATTAAAAATAGTTTTCATTACAAAGTTATACTTAGTGAATGTTTTGAATTTCTCGAATATATTTTAATAGAAATTAAATTTAATAAATTGAATTTAGTAGTAGGAACTTTTTACAGACCGCCAAATACTGACAAAATGCATTTTTTACTATTTTTGAAGACATTTTAGGTGATATGTATGAAAAATATGAATACGTAATTTGCATGGGAGATTTTAATTTTGATCTACTCGATATTGAGTCACCAGAATGTAAACGATTTACCTCTCTTTTCGATACTGTTAATTGTATTCAGCTAATTTGCGAACCTACTTGCTTTTCACCAACCAGAAGCTCTCTTCTTGACTTACTGATCACCAATTATGACTCCCAAAAATGTCATGTAAAAGTGATTCAAGCTCATTTCACAAGACACTCTCTTGTGTCTTGTAAACTCGATTTTAATTTACCAAGTATACAAAATCATAAAATATTTACTTACAGAAATCTAAAATCTATAAACATGCAAGATTTTTGAAAAAAATCTGCATATGATGGCATAGGGAGAAATTTATGAAACAGCTAATATTGATAAAAAAGTTGAAATTTTAACGTATAATATTTTGCAATTTATCGACATGTTTGCGCCTGTTATCACTAGACTTTCGGAAATAAGCCTTATGCCCCTTGGATTCCTGCAAAAAATGACAATGCACAGAAAAATTGTAAAAAAAATAAACCTCAGCCCCAAAGGGAATTTTCTGATTATTTAATAGGAATAAAATATCTTCGCCCCTAGACATAAAAATATATTTTTTTAATGCCTCCTACAATAATTACGACGCCGCTGACAGTTCGGCAATTTTCGGAAAATTAGTCGCTAAGTTCACACCGGTAAAATATTCACTCAACCCTCGACATTTTTTCGAAGTCATGATTGTTTTTAATATTTAATAAAATTTCTTATTTGTTTCAGGTGGAATGAGCGACTTCAAATGGTGAGTCTTTTGAATTAAATTTAGTTTTTTTTTGTAAAGAAATTGTTATAACTTAGCGATGTTAATAATTTTCTGATATTTTGATTCATTCTAATTTCTCTTAAGAGTTCTTAATTTTCTATATGTTTTTTTAACACAATAAATATTAATGCGTACGTGGTCACCGAAGTCTTCACACCTAAATTATTGTGATTTTTTCGTTTTTTCTTATTTCTGTTTTTTTTTTTTTTTGAAAAGTTGCTCATTTTATTATATCTATATAAATCTATATCTATATCTATATAAATATAATAAGGATTTCTATACTGCTAACATTATAAAAATTATTTGAAAAATCTGTAGTACTTCAAATTTTAATTTTTTCTAGCTAAACATATATTTTATTGGATTAAAATTTTATGAGAGAAATGTTCTTAAAGTTTCGGCATATCTGTTATAGTCATTTTTTGCAAAGATGAGAATTTGAAAAATCGTATAGAAATCATTACCCTAAAATACAAATACCATTTTGGTTGTCAATACATCGGGGTTGGCAACATTGTTAAAATGACAATCATTAAACGAAAAAATGATAAATTTTTCGACTTGTACGTCTTACTTATTGGCCTAATATTTTAGGTTATTTAACGATAGCAGCGCATTTATGTTGGCAACGATCTCACATAATTCATAAATGTTTGATGGTAGATATTTTTTTGTATTTGGCGAATTCTACTTTTCTAATTACCTAATAATAATATTTAAGAACTAAGTTTTAAATGTAAATGTATAAATTTATGTTAATACAAGATTTTGGAACTATATGCTGAACATATTTGCAAAACATGTGCATAAGCACTTTACATTGACCCATATTTTTTGAAATTTGTACCTATTTCGAAAATATGCTTGCCAAATTTGATAAAAAATACAATGTTAAAAAATGGTAATGAGGCATAAGTGCTGTTGATCCTAATCTGACTTTAATATTAGTAAAAAGAAATATTAAATGAGACTATTTATATCTGCACTGTAAAAATCCACCAATCACAGTTCATATTTTGTAACTGGGTTACTATTTTTTTTTTATTATTTTAAATATGTTAAAATTTTGTCAAACTAATTGTCAGTAGTATTTTTTTAGTTATTGAGAATAAATATAATAAAATATTAATAAAACTTGTAAATAATCGATAAATAATAGCATTCTACAAGATATTCGTCTATATTTACAAATAAACCGTAAATTTTAATCAAACTATCTAAAATCATTTTATGAAAAATTCGTTGGGTCGTTATTGCAAAGGTAGAATACTGAATTGTCATGCGACAGATCCGGGGTTCAAATCCATGATGGAAGACTATTTTTTCTTTTCCTTCGAGTTTATTTTATTTTATTTTATTTTATAAATTAGTAAAAGTCATAAATAATAGTTACTGTATCTTAATAACATCTAAATCAGTTTTTAAAATTTATAGATTTTCGTTAGTGGATCGTAGAAAAAATATGCAGTACAACTCGAGTAGATTGTCTGTATCGCATTCAGACGATTTCAAATTTCGTTTGCGTGCGATATGATCATCATATCCACCTTTGTTGCACACACTACTATTTTCTTGTTATTATTATTTAAAAGTTTTAATTTTAAATACAAAAAGTTTTCAGTTATATTTTCTACGATTACCTTGAATGTTCGTGGTAGACCTAAATCTATTTTAGCTATTTACAAAATGGACAAAAGAGGTTGGATTAGATAAATTTTTAATATACTGAATACAAAAAACCGAGCAAAAACTTGGAAATTTCAATACTAAACCAATTTGTTACGGGTAATAACATCTAGGGGATTAATAAGGTTGCCTTTAGAAATACTAGCTCTGTACAGGTGAATATAGGGCTACACCATGTCATGTCATACCATTCTGATAGCTTCAGAACTAAGAATGAAAAAATATAAAAAATGTACAGACGGAACATAATCAAATTAAACTGCCGTGTGTGTACATAGTTTAGTTAGTCAATTGGTTTTCACTTACCAAAGAAAGCCAAATATTTGTTATTAGGAGTTGGTTCTTCTCGTCCTATGGTCAAACAATAAAAAAGGGAAACAACGGTTGTTAGTAACATAACAAGGCATGCATAGCACAACATCACTGAGTTTCTTATATACCCAGCTATTTGTACTGTCTGGAAGATACCAAAATACCATTTTACAAACTCTATTACCTCTGTTAGTTTAAACGGAATCTATCTGACAATAATTTTGTCTTTTTTTATTTTCTCTTTGGTTAACAGTAAGCGCAATATTGGTTTTATAATGAATTGAAAACAATAATATTTACTATTTTACAAATTAGTGTATCAAATTAAATATTTAGTTTTGCAAACGAATGCGCCACTATGCCCTGCACTATAAGGTCACCCTGGGTTTGTATTTAACTTTAAACAGGGTTAAAATGGCAACAGTAATAGAGGGATTTTTTAAACGCACTGTGTAAGAGTTAAGTTAATTTAAGAATCTTTTTCAAAAGGCTTTCAAATACGTTGTCTCTGGATTATTTAAATTTGTTTCTCGCCTAATAAGTTTTACTTCTACAATTAATATTATGTTGTAATCAAAATGGTTCTAACATTAATCTGTTGAAAACAGCAGAGCAACTCTTCTATAGTTTTTAATTCAATTAAATGTTTTTATGTACTAATTTTATTCTATTTTCAAGGAATATAAAAGCCATTTTTATCATTTATATTAAAAACTAGTTATAAGATAAAATTTGTCCTTTGGACACTTCTCTTGAGTATGACAATTCGTGCAAAATATCCATTTAAAAATTGAGGGTTCTTTAGTTCCAACATGTTTTTTCTACCAAAAATTTTATGTAGAAACATTCAGTTTCAAATAACCTCCATATATTTTAAATGTATTGTTCAAAGTCGTAAAAAACAATATATTTAACATTTTCCTCCGTATACATTCAATTTTCTCCACAAAAACCGAAAAAAAGGCGACAAAGATATATTATGAAATTCGTTTTTTATAGAAATTCTATTTATATCACCTACCACCTTGGTGCAAATAATAATTTCAAAAAATGTTACAAAGAAAGCTCTTTAGACGCTATATTTTATAAAAAAGAATCTGTTTTTAGTATTTTGAAAATGATGATTATTCACAGTGTCGGCTATTGAACGCTTTCTAATACGCTTTGATAGTGTCAAAGTGAAAACTGTAGAGAGTAAGTATTAGCACGAACAGGAAACGAATAATATTAATATTGGTATCCCTGTGCGGCCGGCAACGTTGATATTATTCGTTTCCTGTTCGCTTTAATGCTAATTATAACTCTCTTTCTCTCTATTTTCACTTTGACATTAGCAAAAATTGGGATTTGTAATTAGGTGGCATTAGGTGACATTTGTTCAAATCAAAATTATTTACTAAGACCATTTTTTAAAAATCATTAACCCTACTTGAACTTTATTACAGGATTTATAGCTAGGTCCTGGATTTAAAAAATATAATTTTGTTTTCTACAGTTTATTCCTTTTCTCTTAACTCTAACTTTCAAAATATTTGATTTTTTATTGGTGAAAGTTTACTGATTATATACTCAGTTGTAACAACAGTGTAAATATTTCTAGATTCAAAATATTGGCAAATTTAAAAACAATTTTTATTTAGTATGGCAATACTTGCTATAACCAGCTGTGTTTGTATACAGCAATTACCAATAATAAAATTCATTTTATTAAAAAGACAAAAGATGTGAAAATATTCCATGCAAACCAGCAACAGCTTTAAGGACATTTCCGTTTTTGAAGTAACAAAAACAATAAAATTTTATAAAATGGTATTTTCGGTTCATTATAGCCTCGGGAGCTATATATATATGTATATATGTATTTATTTATACGATCAATAGCCACTCAACAACAGTATCAAACACAGACTTTTTATCCAGGCAGTTTAGTAAGTGTTTGATCTGCTATAACATTGCGTGAGGTCGGACAGACCCCATGACACTTACCAAATTTAACCAAGCGTTTGTCGTGAGAATCTGATTCTTTTCGTCCTAGACAGGGGAAAACAACAATAAAACAAGGCAGTCTGGGTTTTGTCTCGCTGGTACTTGTAACTTTTACTCGAAATATTGTCACCCCATTCAATAATATGTGATGTTACTGAACAATTTTAGTCTTTAGTTGATACTAATTTTAAAATATATAACATACCTACATTTTTCTACGTAAATCATCAATAATGCAATGATTATATAAAGTGATACATAATGAAACTTAAAAGCGTTATGTAATGTATAGAGTGGACCATAACTAACACTAAATATGCTTTAGTAAATGTGTCTGTGGAAAAATGTTTAGAGTGTCAAAGTTTAAATGATTTTTTTCCTTTTTGCTAATAATTGCACATCCTCTTTATAAATTGTTGCCAAAATTGACCCCATATACCAAAATTTAAAATCGTAATAAAAAATTATATTTCTTGTCTAAACCAATTATTGGTACCTTTCTGAAAAAAATTTTTATGCAGAGGTTGAAATTATAACCAAAACTTTATTTCAACTTTTTCAACTGTAATATTTTACTAAGACATAATTATTTAGTCAAAACTTTATATTTTAATATAAAAATCTGTGGTTACTTTATGACCTATTAGTAATTGTATGTTATGCAGCTGTTTAGGGAAATTATAATATTAGAGAATCAGTATAATTTCTCTAAAATGGACTGTAATAGAAAAATTTGAAGAAAAGTGTAAAATTGTAATTTTTCAGTATTTTTGTTAGCAATAACTATATATAAAAAAATATTTCGAGTAAGATGTGTGTGGAAAATGTATGTATTTAGTTTATCCTCTAAACATTTACAGGGGTGATACAATATCTAGACAGGAAAGTCATGTGTGTGGACACATCAGATTTTTTTTAAACAATTCAAGATAAAATATTCAAGCTATGTGTTCTGTAAACTATAAAAATGAAAACAGCAACCGGACACCGGATCTGTAAAGGCACAGCCTCACAGCCCATGAAATATACATTAAATCAAATATTAGAATAAAACCAACATAAACAGTATTCGAAGCTCAAGATTGTTATTTAAAACAAGGAGAATATTAATCACATCATAATGAAAAAATCTCTCCATAAAATCCAGTGTCCCAATCCAGACGAGGAAAATATTACCCTGCTACTCCACTGCTACTGATTTATCCTCTATTACCTAACCCACATTTTTAAATACTTTTTCAGTAATATTCCTATACTATCGAAATATATTATTTATGTCGACCAAGGGCGGCTCCAAGGAGGAGGCTATACCCCCTCTCCCGGGATTAAAATTCTTACAATTCATGAGACTTTCATTAAAAAATATGCTAAAAAGGGTATCCGAAAATTTGGCCTGGAGCTGCCTTTGATATCGACCAAAAAACATGTTTATTCTTTAATAATCATCATAGATCTGCAGTTTGGTTTCCGTTCCAAAAGCACACTGAACTTAACTTGTTTGTCGTATGTTGATTACTTATCGAATGCGTTGGATTCTAATGCTATGTACACTGATTTTTCAAAAGCATTCGACAGGGTTAACCACAGTTGCTTGATTGGAAAGCTTAGTAACATTGGCATTGGTGGTAATCTTCTGAAATGGATCGAATGCTTTATAACGAATCGCATTCAAATTGTTCGTGTTTCTGGCTTCTTATCCTCTGGATTTACCACTACATCGGGTGTCCCTCAAGGGTCACATTTAGGACCTCTACTTTTTAATATATATAACAATGACATCCAATATTGTTTTAAGAATTCTCAGTTTCTTTGCTTTGCTGATGATTTAAAATTATTCATGCGTGTAAATTCCTTACATGACTGTATTTGCCTTACTTGGATAACTTAGTCCAATGGTATGGAATTAAATACAAGCAAATGTCATGCAATCAATTTTATGGTCCTATTGAATATATCTATAAAATCAATGACATAATACTGGATACTATTACAGAGGTAAAAGATTTGGGTGTGATACTAGATTACACCCTTTCTTTTCAAACTCATATAACGGCCTGGTACAGTTGACTGACGTAATCCAGGATGCACTGACAAACAAACGGTCGTGTGTGCCTTCCTAGACATAGAAGGAGCTTTTGACAACACGCCACACGAATCTGTAAAAAGAGCACTTGCATACAGAGGAGTAGATAACATCAGCTGTTATCTACGAGAACTGCAGAGACACAGATAGGGCAGGACACCATCTCCATCTGCACAACCAGAGGATGTCCACAAGGAGGAGTTCTATCTCCACTAATGTGGAGCCTAACCGCAGATTGACTGACCTCGGCGTACCCTGTCAAGGTTATTCCGATGACATAGTCATATTTGCTAGTGGCAAGTTTAGTAATATCCTATGTGATATAGTCCGACAAGGGCTAGAACATACCAAAAGATGGTGCCGTGAAGTGGAACTTAGCATAAACCCTACAAAAACAACACTAGTAGCCTTTTCAAGGAAAATAAAACTTAATTCTCAAAACCGTTAAATTAGACGGGATAGATATAGAATAGAAAAATGAAGCTATGCCTAACCCTGGACAACAAACTTCTCTGGAACACACATGAGAAGGAAGTAGTAAATAAGGCCACAAAAGCCCTAATGGTATGCAGAAACATTGCAGGTAAACAATGGGGATGTAACCCAAACATACTGCGATGGATGTATACTGCAATAGTGAGATCAATCATCACTTACGGGGCTATAGCTTGGAGTAACAGAACTAGTTTAGCTACTACGAGAGCTAATATTTCAAAAGTACAAAGACTAGCCTGTATTTGCAATACTGGTACAATCAGAACCTGTCCTACGTCCGCAATGGAGGTGATCTTAAACCTCACCCCTCTACATTTGATGATAGAGAATGTGGCCAAAAAGGACACGATATAGAATGATCACGAACGGAGTAATTAGACGAAAGTCTACTTGCTTCAGGACTAAAGATAACTGGGACACACCCCAGGATGAAATGCTAAAGAAGTACAGTTTTGTGAAACATTTCAAAACCACAGAGCTGGGCTGCCAAGAATCCATCGCGCTTGCAACCGAAAGACGTGCTATTCAGTGGTATACGGACGGTTCCAAAACTATAGAAGGAACTGAAATAGGAGTATATGGGCCGAAAACCAAGTACTCCGAAAGCTTGGGAAAATACCCAAGCATCTCCCAGGCGAAAATTCACGCCATCGAGAAGTGTATCCAGTTTAACATCGAGAGAAACTATCATAGACAAGAGATTATCATCATGTCCAATAGTCAAGCTGCCATCAAAGCACTGAGCTCTTACGTAATCAGTTCAAAAATGGTCTGGAGATGCCTAGAACAATTGAATGAGCTAGGCAAGAAAAATAGACTTACTCTCACTTGGGTCCCGGGACATAACAGGGTAAAGGGTAACGAGATTCCAGATAGTCTTGCAAGGAAAGGGGCTCAAACACCCTTTGTAGGACCTGAGCCGTTTTGTGGTATCAGCAGTAACATAATATTAGGAGAGATTAAAAAACAATTGGGTAGTAGAAGAACCGATAATTGGAACAATCTCTTGAGGCTGAGACAGGCCAAGATACTTCTGGGTGAATATAACCAGAAAAGATCGGAAGCCTGCATCTGCCTGAGCAAGAACAGGCTACGTATTTTAACAGGGATCCTTACCGGGCATTGCCGACCAAAAGGACACCTAAGTAAACTGAGAGTAGTAGAGGATAGTGAGTGCAGATTCTGTGAGGAGGAGGACGAAACCTCCATTCACATCCTAACTGAATGTGTAGCACTCCAGAATCCAAGGGCACTATATCTAGGAGGATATCAAATAGAAGAGGGAGATTTACCTAACTTGAAGCCACTTCAAATCCTACACTTCCTTGAGAAAATAGGATTGGAAGGGTCTTTATAGGCATTGAGATATTTCCTTAGTGCATTGGCGACAGAAAGGGACACAATAGATCTTTTAGGTCGCATTGTATTAACACCACATTTCCAACATAACATAACGGCCTCAATTAATAAATCATTAAGAATGTTGAGTTTCCTTAGAAGAACTACTTCTGATTTTCATAATGTGGTGTGTTTCAAGATTCTTTATTGTGCCTTAGTTAGACCTTATATTAAATATGCTTCTGCTGTATGGAATCCTTTTTATGTATATCTAATCCATAATATAGAACAGGTTCAAAGAAAATTTTTACGCATTGTTTAATTCAAATCGGGTCAACTTCAGTACAATTATGACAAATTACACACAATTTGTCATCTTGAGACTCTTCTGAGCAGAAGAAACCAAAGGGATCTTAAAATATTGTTTAACATTATTAACTCATCTGCCGATTGTCCCTACTTGTTATCCCAAATTGAATTTTCTGTACCCCCTAGAATAACTAGGAATATTAATATATTCTCCCAACCTTTCCATAGAACAAATATGGTTCTCATTCTTTTATTCCTAGAGTGACAAGATCTGCTAATAGACTAACTGTAGAATGGATTACTTCTCCATCAGAATTCTCTAACCATTTATGTATATGTGAGGAATGGATGTTAGATTTTTAATTAATTGTTTTTTAATATGTATATATTTAAATTAATTTTTTATTATTATTATTTAGGATTTTATTACTATTTAATGGGCTCTGACAAATAAAAAATAAATAAATATTTAAAAAGGCCAACTCACCTATTCATACAACTAATAATGAATATTTAAAAAGTCAATTGTTCAGTGACATCACATATTTGTATACGAGGTGTGGCTATAAAAAATTGGATTAGTTTATAAAATATTTTAATGGTTTTCTTTTACAATTTTAACATTATCTCCTTCAAAATACGATCCTATGCGCAGACGATGCGAACTTTCCATTGGTTAAAGTAATTTTTACTTTCATATCTGTATACAAAAGGAAAATATGGGGATCATGATTATTAGAATGAATATTTTTGAATACTAACTCAAATATACTTATACTGCTGATTTGAAGTTGGAAATTAAAAAAGTCAGATGATGTGG